GGCAAACTAGGGATGAATTCGGTTTCGTGCACTTTCCTATAAACGAATTCAATAAAACTTGGCAAATAGATGTGATTCCACGAACTTTTCATGTCGGTTTTTTTAGTACTCTGTAGGTACTGATATCATTTTTCTTCAATAGTTTAATTTTTCTGACATTTCGACTCGTCCGAAGAACAGAGTCGGATGTGATTAGATAGCGAAAAGAGAATATATAAGTACGTTACGAGAATAATTTCGTTATTCTATCTATAAGTAAAAGTGCCTATGTAAAAGTGTTTTGAGAATTTATATATCTTATTTCGTTTCGGAAATATAAACTCGAAATAAAAAATTGAGAAAAAGTAGTCTAGCACATAGATCTTTGTTCTTCGGATGAGTCGATTTGTTCGCGGGAAATCATTAAGTATATCTTTGCGATAGCCATTTTGAAAGCCTTTTCCAACTAAGCTAATCAGCAAAATACTTTTCTTTTGTTTTTAGGTACAGGTCCAGCCCTATGCAAAGGTGACAGCGGCGGCGGCCTAGTGTTCCCCAATATAGAGAGTGGCGTAGAACGCTTTTACCTTCGCGGTATAATGTCCGTAGCACCAATCAATGAAAACAACGGTTGCAGCACTTTGAGTGGCTTCACGCAGATTTTAAAGCACGAACATTTTATTAGGGAACATGCTCTAGACATCATATGATTTCAACTAGGTAACCCTTCTTTTAAGGAAAGTTCTAGTTATATCGACAGACATGATACTGCTTAGAATGTAATGTAAATTTTTTGTTGTTTATGGGTCGCCCCATATTGCCGCCAGGCAGGCCGCGACGTGGCGATGCGTCAAAACGCTTTTTTTGTTGGAAAGGGGGTACTTCCATAGTGGTCCCACTTTATTTTGAAGAAAATCATCCACCTTTAATGGTGGCTGTTCACGCATGAAGATTCATTTTTATAAATAGCGCCTAACTTTAATTTAGGAGCAATTATTTTAATGATTGATTTTGCTATTTCTCCAATTGAAGGCGTTTTCTCTCAATATACTTTGAGTAGTGAGAACCGATTATTATTATCTCCAGTGTCAAGTCCTGTATAGTGGCGAACTAGGGGATATTTCAATAAAACTTAGCAAATAGATATAATTCCACGTACTTTTGAGGTCGGTTTTTTAGTACTCTGTACTGAGATTATATATTATAATTATAACAAACTAGTGGAGTAACTTCACAAAAAATAATTGAATATCAATTCATTAAAAATTTAATTAAATTGTATACATTATTCAGTAGAAAATATGTTCTATATTATATTGTATTTTGTAAACTGAGTTCAGTGCAATTTGACGCCGCCAGGTGCCGCTTGCTGCATCTTATTTCACGGCGTTTGTTTATAGAAATGTAAACTTATCTTGTAGAAGTGAAAGTTTATGTTGCACCGCAATTCGCAGCCTTTTGTCTCCTGGCTACGGCGATTTGAAGCAACCCTGAAGCGCAGTATTCTTTAGCGAAATTGTCGATCATGTGAGCCAACATATCATCCGATATGTTTGATATGAAGTCATCAAACAAATCTTATTAGTTGCCACCGACAATACGTTCTCTAATCGATGTGGCCTTTCACAAATGAATAAACAATGATCAAGTGTAATCAAAAGCATTTTGAAATAAATGTATTCATTTCGTCATAATGCAAATAAACCATGTAGTAAATATAAAGCGTTTTGTAATAAGGACTTGTCTGTCTGTTTATTTTTTGAGTCATATGTTTGTATTAATTAAAAATATTATCACGATATCAGATTTTACTCTCCTCTTTACCTTATTTACCTAGGTACAGGGACATATCACGTTTGACATTGGGCGTTGAACCAATGTTATCGCTACTGGCTATTTATTATGGCGTCATAAGCTCAACTTACACTGGCGCTGAGTCGAAGCGTCGCGACGCGTCATGTTTTTCGCCTATAGTATATTCATGTCTATTTTCCCATTACTAAGGTACGTGGCAGCGAGCGCCTACATTTTAATGAGCGCTTCCTGATTGGCGCGGTTTAGACAGGAGCGGGTAGGGATCGTTTCGTACCACGTTAATCACAAAGTGCACATTGAAATATAGGCGCTTGGTAAGCTGTCGGTACTGCGTATACCGAGCGTACCGATACGGCGGTGCTAGCACACCGACAAGTCAACAAACGGCCTAAGTTTTAGAGCATGTAACATGGGAGATAATAATTTAAAAAATAATAATATTTTTTATGTTACTGAACGAAAACGATAGAGCCAAAAAAGGTTTTTGTTCGCCGTTGTGCAATAATTTTAAATTTCGTTTTTCTATAACTGGCTTTTAGCTTTACAAGTTTATTTTATAATTCACTTTACGTAAAACTTTAAAATTTCTAAATGCAGGACATAAATATGAGCCTTTGAAATTATATTTTTCCAATTTTTTATATTTTTCCACTATTTGAAATTCGGAAAATTACCCAACTAGCTGCTATATACGTCATAGATACAACACTACATCGACTTGTCAAATAAATATCGAATGAAAAAAGATTTGGCTTGATTAATTTAACTCCGATGCCGTAAAACAGATTACAAAAAAAATTGAAATTAGGGATGGCAACTGATAAAAATTTATCGATATATATATTGCATCGATATTTACAAACAGTATCGAAATTGATGGAGATAAATATATCGATATTCCGATATGTTAATATATTTCCCAAAGCCAGTAGTCACCTAAAAATGTTCCCAATCTATATCTACTAAGTATACATAAAGTAAAAATTGGGAAGTTAAAGCCACGTCGGAATGTACTTGAATTACATTATAGGCTTGAACAAGTTGAAGATTAAAAAAAATATTTAAAATCATATAAACGTACTTACTGTTAACCGACGAGCGTGTATAAGTATTGATACGTGTTAATGAAGCGAAATGTATCAAGTTCGTAGCTAGTGAAGAGCAGTAGTCCCTGCCTACCCCGGTAGGAAAAAAAATTAATGTCTGGCCTAAATTGATTTTTGATCACCGGTTTTTGTCACAAGCAGCACGAGATCTTACTTCTGGAGAACGTTGTCGTCTACGTCCACAGATATATATCTAGATAGACGCCGCAAGTGTACGTACTTCGCGTGCACAGAGTAAGTGAAATTCACTTACTTGCCGCTGCTACACTTCAGAACGCGCCCGACCGTTATCGTAAATAAGCACCAGTCGAAAACGCGAAAAATGCATAATTGTGCCAATAAAAACTGCAAAAGCACCATAACTGTGAGTAAACGGGTAAACAGGGACGTTTCTTTCCACTGCAAGATTTATTTTAAAAACAATTATTTTGGTTTTGTAGGAATTTAGAGAAAACAAATATACAACCAAGTGTATGTCTCATTTGTAATACATTGCCACTTTTACTTGGTGCGATATATTTGTGATCCTTGTTAATACGCCATGAATATCGAACGAACGCACTTTTGTATAATGCATTTAGTGATGTATACGTTAGGCAACTCTGTTCTCGATTCTGATCGATTTTGAAAACAAAGGGACGAAAATTATTATGACCTTATCAATATTATAAAAATATTCTATAACTCTTTTGTTTATAATATATATTAACGTTTCGGTTTTTTTTTCATTTTTGTAGTATCTATTATCAGTAGTATCTGTAATTTCGATAATTTATGCAGCACGTTGCCTCGAATGTCCGAATATAGTGAGCACATAATTACATACATCGCCAGACATGTCGTACGAGTAATACAAAAAAATATATAATGCAAAGAATTAGCAGTGAGCTGTCTTTACAAAAACCTGGAGTTGGTCCTATGTATGAGTTCGTTGCTTTCGAGGACGAAGGTGGTCTAGTTTATTCCACCTAAGATGCTATCCAAATATGCAGAGTAGCAGAGTTAGAAATCCCAAAAACAATAAACAAATCACAAAAATCTGACAAGAAGCCGTCATTAAGTAAACTTTTCTGATTAATAAGATTTTACCATATTTTGTCAGCAGTAACATTTTCATTTGTCTTGCCATTCATCAATTTCATCAATTATCAATAAGATCTATTACAAAAAGATGTTATATAATAAGCTCATTTTATTGGAAGGACAATAATTTCAATATTTGAAGTCGATTAAAAATTAAAGTCTTAATTGTTTTAACAAATCAAATTTTTTTTAAAACAAGTAAAATAAAGGACTTAACTGTCTTATTCTAGTGTTTTTCTACTATATTATTATTACGCGTACTTGTAATCAACAAATACTTGAACAAAAATTATGTTTAGAATCGATTAATTGAATGGAATTCGCATGCCTTGCGCGTATTCCGTGCAATCAATCGATTTAGAGCGAGCGGAAGGAGGTTTCCATCACTAAATAGCTCTTTTGACGTCATAGTGGGTACAAAAAATGTGGCACGCTTGGTTTTCATACAAATTGCTGTACTTGCGGCGTCTATCTAGATATATCTCTGTGTCTACGCCTATGTTCTAAGCGAATATCACTACTTATTTTCGATATAGCACTTGACACCGCAATTGCCAAACTCTTCACTAATTTCAACTCAACTTTGTTTGATACACTATAAGTATAAACCAAGTCCAGTATAAGCTTAAAAAAATCATGCTTATTGTTATACTTACTAAAAGAATAACATTTTGATATAATTACTACCTATAAAAAAATTAAAGGTTTTTACTGAGTTGATCTTATAAATTAGAAAGTAATCCAAAAACATACCGGACACTATATTCTGAAGGACATTCGAATCTTATGGTGTCAATGAAGTGAACCGTTAATACGTGTTACTACTACTATATGTCACTTCTCTTCTCGGTATTTTTTACTTGCTTTGACAGAGAGGACTACCTATGCATGGCGCCTCTCATGCTGTGTGCTCTAAAGGCGGCTTCTCGCGGTCCATCACGGGCTACACCTCGTCGATTTGTATGGGCATTCAATGCGATCCTGCGCCGTCACGTGGCAGCACTCTTTATCACGGCGCTTCGGTGCGAGCTCGCGCAACGCGGTCCGTAACAGCACGGCTATGGGGAGTCAGCTTAAAATGTATTGATGCCAAAGCTTTGTTCTGGACAGTAATCATAGCATATTTACAGCAGAGGCATATGCAGTCTTAGAAGCCCTCAAACAAATTACATAAGTAAATAATTATAAATATTTTCTTATTTTAACGCTCTCTTCTTTGACTTCGAAATAAATGGACGACGGATCTAATACAAAAACCACGAAAAAAATGTCCCAAGTCAACCTATTTAAACGTAGTGACATGCAAAGGAATATGAAAAAGCTAAAACGTAGAATTTAAACTGTAATGTCATCGCAGTACTGTCTAATTTTGCTTGCTTCGCTGTCAGTCGAACAAACAAAGACTAAAGCCAGAATGACGCTCTGTATACGATTTTAACGCCCTATAAGTTCGGACACTTTTTAGCGCGGACCCGACGTCCATATAATTGTAAGTCAATGGCTCTCTTAGTTTAGTTATAATCTCGAAAACTGCAATACACATTTTGAAACGAATTATATCTTGTATAATACTATCATATTTAATTCGAAGCAAAAAAAAAAAATGAAGTGTCCTTTACGTGGGTTCCTTCTCATAAAATATTTCTGGGAATGATATAGCTTAAAGGACTGCATTTGTAAGGATAACTTCCTTAAATGAACAGCTCGTTACCTATACCACCTACACCATTTACCGATAGTTATACGGATATAAGCAATGATATGACAATATTATGGAAAAGTTTCTGGAAGAAACAACGAAATACCTACTAAGCCGTGGTAGTCCAAACTGAATACTGCTAGCCGTAGCTATATTGTCACAATGAATTGACTACGTTTTGGCCACCACAGAACTCCACCTCACTTAAGAAGACTCAATTTAATTGAAACAAGTTTTGTTTTTTTTCATAATGAATGGCTTGTGAGACTACTTAGCCTCAATTCTGCCAGTGTCCGTTTTCTAATTTCATAAACGTTATGGTTGAAACAAGTTCATGCCCACATTGTAACGCTCCAGTTGGTGACATTGAACATTTGATTTTTTATTGCTGTCAGTTCAAAATTCAACGTCTTTTACTAACAAGTGAATTAAGTTACTTATGTGAAAGTGAAAATAAATAATGTCTCTCGCCGCTTAAAAGACTATTTAAAAAACCCAAACATCTTTTTGCCATTGTATAAGTACGTTAAAAACACAATAGAAAATATTTAATGAAACGCATTTGGTTTTCGAAATTCGTGAAATACGTGCTCTATTTGTAAATGTTTATTGCATAAGAATTAATGTTCTCCAGAAAGGTATATTTATATTAATTGATAGTCCGACACTTCTGTGGGCCACACCATTGGGCCTATCCCACCCCAGCAAGAGGCAGGGTTCGCAGCTGAGTTGGAGAAAAGATTAAGTAGTAAAAAATATCAAAATTGATACTAAAAAAACATAATTTTTGACATATCTAAAAATATCGACAATATATATCGATTATTTCATGAAAAAATATCGCTATTTTGATATATCGATACTTTTTACACATCCCTAATTAAAATGTCAGATGGTAAAAAGCCGCATTTTCCCGCTGTGAGAATTTGTTTTTACAAGTTTTTAAATAAATAATTCGCTTCATACAATAATAATGTCTTCGGTTGATTTGAGCAATTTCTTAAAGGCTTTAGAAGCTGTGAAACAAGACTATACGTGTCCTGTTTGCAAGGAATTGTGTAAAGACCCCGTGACATTGAGCAAATGTTTTCACATTGTTTGTAGAGCACATTTCGAGGGTTTGAAGGTGTGTCCATCTTGTAATATTGACTTGGAAGGCTGCAACATGACCTATGATGACCGTTTAGGACCCTGTATTGACTCTACTAGGCAACTTGACACTATGTTCGAGAAGTACAAATTCGAAATCACGCGAGACGAAAATTTTGTTCCCAGTGCTAGTAAACGTAGTAAATTGAAGAATGATAATGAGAAACCAGACGATCCTTCATCTAAACAGGATATTTTAGTTGAATTACGGAAAAAATCTGCTCAAAAAGAAGTAAACAAAGCTGCTCCTCTTAAAGAAGCTTCTAATAATAGAAGAAAGAGAAAAGGCACTCCAGTGGAAAAATGTAAGGCTAAATCAAACGAAGTAGCTAAAAAACAAGATGTGGAGTCAAGAACACGATCTGAGAACATCGACATGTCGTTCACGTCTAATACGAGTTTGAAAACTAACAAAATTGAAAAACGTAACAATAAAGGTGAAACTGTGTTACATGTATCATGTCGTCTTGGGAAAATTGATAAGGTAACCGAATTACTCAACCAAGGAGCCAATACAAATACAAAAGACAACGCTGGATGGACACCATTGCATGAAGTTGTCCAAAATGGACGACTAGACTTAGTTAAATTGCTATTGCAGTTTAACACGTTGATAAATGTGCCGGGACAGGGTAACGAAACCCCTTTACACGAAGCCGTTAGATACGGACACTTGGAAATAGCAGAGGAACTGGTTAAGAATGGTGCTGATGTTAATGCAAAGAATGTTAAAGGTGAAACCCCTTTGCAGTTGGCTTCCGATAAAATGAAATATGTGTTAGAGCAGGCAGCGGAAAATATAATTCAAACTCAAGGCATAAATGTCACAATTATGTCTGAAATGCATATTGAGCATGATTATGAAGATATTAGAATTTACAGTATTTCCCAAAAGAACTCTACTCTTAATAGTCTTAAGACGTTGGCCAAGGCACATAGTAACTTGCACATTGAAGCGAAGTTTAACAAGAAAGTTACCCATTTACTCGTCGATGCTGACAGAGATGGCGTCTGTCAAACAAGCAATGAGGTATTGCAAGCGATTGTCAGTTCCTTATGGATTATCAGTTCCGATTGGATTGAAAAATCTACAGCAGAGAAGTTGGAACCTTTTGACAAGTATGAAGTTACTGGAGTCGGTACAACTACTTATAAGGGACCAAAGAATTCAAGATATAATAAATACAAACAACATCCAGGAATTTTTGACGGATGCCATTTCTACTTTCACAATTTTAATATTAAATATGAAGTATCAAAAACTGTTGTACTGACAAAACAGATCTTGACTAAATTGGTAACGGATGCAGGTGGAGTTGTGCTCAGAAGAGTTCCGAATCCGGAATCTATTCCAGATTCTGAGAAACTTGTTCCGTACCATGCTAAAAAGGATGGGAAATTGGTGAATTGTTCGCATTATATTATTTTTAAAGATTTGTATGAACCTATGTATAATATGCAGCATTTGAAGGCTTTGCCTATTGGATGGCTCATTGAATGTATTGAGAAGTATGAATTGTGTGAGCCGTGGTAAAGATTTTATAATTGCTTTTAGAAATCAGTAACAAAAGGCCTGTTCTGAAGAGTGTAACAAGTTTATTTCAATTAGTTTTTGTAACACTTGAACATCAATGTCTGTTTTGTAATGTCTATCTTTTTTTCCTTGATGTAATAATTGCGCATTTAATCTCACTTTATGGAAAGTGACGATTAGGTTGACAATGGAGCATGCACATATTTAGGAGGGCACTTTGAAATTAGGCACGTCACTACTAATTTTCATACAAACCATACATATATAACATAATTTTCAGAACCATATTGCAATGCCCCGTTTGCAGTCATAAAGAGAACTCAAAATTACTCAAACACTGTATTTTTGTAAATAGTATTTTTTGTACAGTACAGCATTTTTTGTTCCGGATACTTTTCGAGATTCGGGGCATCATCTAAGTAATTACATCAAAAAATGTTTTAAATGATAACTTTTTGTCCCAAAAATATCCAGGACAAAGAGTCGTAAGGTAGTTTCCACTTTTTGTCTCTGTCCTTCGATGTTAATGTAAATTCACTGCTTGTAACCCTCTATCCTAAAAAGATGTCATTTTGTAAATGTGGCCGTATGTCAAGTATAATTTTATTGTAATCTTTAATTTAATTTAAAAAAAGAAGTAAACTTTATTGTTTACGCAATTAAAATACATAATTTAAGTCTTCTTCTTTGTTTATCTTTCCTTATAAGGAATATTTTTGTTAACGTAATAAAATTACGCTCTTTAAACCTGTGCCTCTACCTTGAGGTTAGTGACGGTTAATGCTAGCGACTGCTTAAAATGTCTGTATACAAAATGTTGCTTCTGGTGACCATACAAAATTGTGAAGTAATTTACGCGATCGCTAGCGACTTCTATCATAGTAAACTGGTGGTAGAGGCACTGTTATTTGTGGAACATTTTTTGTTTCTTGAAAATAAATTCGTACTTTCAATTATTAAAAATATGTTTTTTAAGTAGGTTCTTTCAGGAATGTTCTGTTTACCCAACATAAATGTTACCTACGTTTTTTTCTTTACCTAACAACAATACGTTCTTCAAGGAATGTCTTTTGTTTACTCAATAAAAACACATAAATATAGACGACTTTTTTATTTTAAAGTGCCAGTACACATTGAAAATCACATTTTTAATGCTTTAGCCATTGACTTACAAATAAATGGACGACGGGTCTAATACAAAAACCGCGAAAAAAATGTCCCAAGTCAACCTATTTAAACGTAGTGACATGTAAAGGAATATGAAAAAGCTAAAACGTTGAATTTAAATTGTAATGTCATCGCAGTACTGTCTAATTTTGCTTGCTTCGCTGTCAGTCGAGCAAACGAAGACTAAAGCGTGAATGACGCTCTGTACACGATTTTAACGCCCTATAAGTTCGGACACTTTTTAGCGCGGACCCGACGTCCATATAATTGTAAGTCAACGGCTTTAGCACATATGTATTTGTCTAAAATTGAGTATTTTTGATTAATTCACTAGTAAGATTCGAACTCCACTTATCAGCACTGTCCAACATTGCCTCTTTACTACACACCTGTTTTATATGGAGTAGCTTCAAGGCTGCCGGTGAATTCTCAAATTTTGCTACTAGAACCGACTAATTCACGACTTTTTCTGTCGTGACACGACTGTTTCTGTCTTATTCAGAAATGTCATATTAATTTAGACTATTTGTAATAAACAATAGTCGGAAAAAGGTGTTCCATATATAGATATAGCTACAAGGAGCGACATAGAGTTGTTAAAACCACCAAATATTAAATTAATTTTTCGAATTCCAGATTTCCGGAAATGGTTTTACTGCATCGTAAGACAAAACTACTGACCTAGGAAGTCCAGTTGGATTTTAAAGTAATTCTAATGGTGCTGACGGTCAACCGTGACCATGGGACCTGTAAAGGGCCCGAAACGTCGGTTTGTTTGAAAAAACAAATATACGCGATTTAATCCGGAAAAATAGTTTAATTTCCTATATTATGTATTAGTTAAATGAAAATTATAATAAAATTCCACAGTGTTCAACAATTGAAAGACGCACTTGCAGCTATTTTCAATGGAATCCATCCGAGTAAAATTTCAGCCGCTACTTGCTCTTTGCGGAAGAGAGCGAATCGATGCATCCGTCACGGCGGCAATCAATTAGAGCTCTCACTTTCATATATTTTTTATGTTATTTTGCTTTTTGTTATTGTTTGTATTTTGAAATACATAATACGTTGTCAATTTGTTAGTTTCCTTAACCTAGAATAACTAATTACTAAATATGTCCCACAAAATGTACGGTAAAAAGTTTTTTGCGATTTCTGACATTTCAAATACTCTTACCTCAGAGACTATTGAGACCGGATCGAATGGCATAAAAAAAGTTTTATAAATTGCCTTTTATCTTGCTGACTGTACCATTTTTTGAAAATCTGTGAATGCCAATCAAAACATCTTCAAAATTCATGGATAGTCTTCTAGAACCGTTTTCCTGTAACTACAACGATTAAGGTACACCCTGTATACTGCGCGAGCATGCCCGCGTAGGGTCCATCTAAGTCATGTCCTAACCCCAGATCAGCCCGTTTGCATGGACATCATCCGGTTCTCTGTAAGGCTAGTGCCTTAACTGACCCGCCCAGCACTACTGCACCCTCCCTATTTTCCAAATAGATACCGGAGCTGTAGGCACGCTCACTTCCCACCGCGCTAACGATTCAAGTCAAGGCTGAGTCGACTCTAAGTCGACTACCAAATCTCCTCATTGGTCGTGGAACTGTAAGGCACGCTTACCTACTTCCCAACGCCGAATGAACGGCGTCTCCAGTTCCCAAATTTCTACGGGGCCGGAGGGACCGGAGGATGTCTAGCTAAACTAAATATAGTATACATAGTATACAATTATTTCAATGCAAAATAACAAAAGAATGAAGCCACACGGCGCAGTGCCTCCACACCTGTAGCTTGTGCCGCCACGGCAATGGAAAGTGTGATTTTGGGTCTAATTATATGGCATATTCTAACGAACGGCAGACACGTGTTAAGCGGCTCTACTCTTTTGTTACTTTGCATTCACAGAAACATTCACTGTATTTTCAGCTACGAGTAATTTATCTTGTAGAGCAGAGGTTCCCAGACTTTTTTTCCCATAGACCACTTTCAAAATTTAGCTGGTTCCGGTGGACCCCCCTGAAGCTACATTTCTACTATATACCATATCCATATTTTTTTTTCACGCCAACGTAGACCCCCGTCGAGTCTTCCTTGGACCCCTGGGAGTCCACCTGGACCACTTTGGGAACTAAGGTTGTAGAGGATAAACTTATGTTACATTGCTCGTTTTCATGCATCACCGCGTCGCAGCCCGGCTGCGGCAATATGGAGCGTTAGTCAACAAAAATTTGACATTACTACAGTCTAAGTTTATTACATATATGTAATAATAACGCATAGAATGATAGTGTCATATCAAACGAACTGTCACAAGAGAGGCAAAAATCAAATTCTTGAAGGCTAGTTTTAGAAGTAGGTTAATATTCGGTTTTAGTGAATATTTATATAACAATACAAGTTGAAACGCGCTACTTCCTTGTGGAATGTGATGTTAGTATCTATTCTATGTTTGTCTGGCGTATTTTTACACTCATTTACCGCACATTTCGTCATTTTTAGCTAAAATTCTAGAGCTGTTATAAGACACAATATCCTTGTGATTATAGTGTTTTGAAAGATAATTCTTGACTGCTAGTTTACATGTCTGTTTTTAGGGTAATGGCTTTGGTTGATTCCGCGTACGAGAGTGTTGAATCAATCACCTTGGCAATTGAGGATATACACTGATTAAGGGTGGTTACACACGGCTACTTTGAGCAGCGATACAAACGCACTTGCGATTTATACGACTGCATCGATGCAAACGCGCGATGGCATCGATACAAACGCGCGATTGCATCGATGCAATCGCTTATGAACAGTGGTCGGACAAAGGTGTTCCACATATAGTGTTGTCTCTCGCTAGGACTGATAGCTGTAAAGGTACTAACTGGGTGACAAATCTTTCATAGATTTCTCATAAATAGCGCTACGACTAAAAAGCCGTTGAAAAACCAAATACAAAGACACGGCGCAAGCACTTAGAAAAATTCGTGAGTTCCGCTGGTTCGTTCCGTGGCTTAGTTGGTATAGCGTCTGGCACGGTATGCTAGAAGACGTCGGTTCGAATCCGGCCGGATCGAAGGATTTTTTTCTGTGTGAGTGTTCGATCTTTGTATTAATAATTAAAATCAATAGGCACTTTATATATACCAATCATTGACTTACAATTATATGGACGTCGGGTCCGCGCTAAAAAGTG